CCAAGGCAGGCATTTCTGCTGAGTTATCTTGCTGGCCCTTCTAACGTGCCTGTAAAAAATAAATAAATAAAATAAAGTGCTTTTAGAGTTATTAAGTTACCTTTTATGTGAAATGGATGAAAGCATTTTTTTTTCTTCCAGAAAAACTTGCTGAGTTTATCACATTCTGGTAACAAGTATATTTATAAACAGAAAACCTACTTTAATCTTTCAGCACATGTGACACTTAGCTAAAACATCACATCAATATTTTAAAAAAATCAATTCTATCTTCTATTTTAGTGAAATTTTCTAAATCTTTAACAAAGGAAAAAGCTACTCTGGTAAGGATTCATATTTACATCACACATTTAAATTTTAGGAAAGGCCCAATGCACAACTTACAATTATGTACTATCAAGAAATAGCCTCCAAGCAAATCACAGGACACACAGAACAGCAGAGCTATACCAGCTCCTAACAGAAGAGGTAATCATCTTGGTTTGCCTGTGACTTTCCCACTGAATGCTCTAAGTTGTGGCAGTAAATGCCACTGAGGGCCCAAAAACAAAACAAAACCAATGAACCAAAAACAAAGACAAGATAAAAACAATTGTTACAATATAATTATGACTATCAAAAAACTAAAGCAAATATATCACCAAAATTCATCTATGAACTGCCTGTGATGCTGTTAATAACAAATGACAATAATGATGAAATATTTTATTCAAAAATAAAAAATTGGGGCCGGGGAGATGGCTCAGTGGAATAAGCGCTTCCCTGGCAAGCGCAAGGGCCTGAGTTCAATCCCCGGTTCTGCCAAAAAATAATTAAATAAAAAATAAAAATAAAAAAAAATTAAAAATTTTAAGAAGGCGGGGGAGGGATCATATTCTGCAAAGGAAAATAAGTTGGACTATGATTTGGTGATCCCTTGCTTGGGCAGCCAGACGAGCTGTGACCCTGTCACAGGTAACAACAGGTCTAGTAAACTGCAGGAAATATAAACTTACATTTTAAAAAGGAGTCAATCAGACCCAGATCTACCAACTAATTCCACCACAGACTGGATATTCTTTACCCAAAATACTTGTAATGAAACTTTCTCAGATTTCTGTTTTTCGGATTTTCAGTATTTCCATAAACTTTATCAATGCAACATTTCTAATCTAAAAATACACAATGTGCCAAGATCTTTCTGAGTGATGTTTCAGCACTTAAAATATTTATTTTTTGCACTTACAGTTTTATATTTTTTAATTAGAGATGTGCCAATAAGCAAATATGTTAACAAAGGCTGCTACTCCAGGAAACAGTTACCCATTCAGGCTCTAATACAAATTTCTCTGTAGTTACTGCCAATATTAGACCTCAAAAACCAATCCTATTGCTGGGAGAAAGATATTTAAGGAGGTTTCTGGGTGAGAGGCTGAGCACCAAGTCAGTGGACTTTAGTTGAATGGACTGTCTTTGTTCCTAACAATGTTCCTCTTGAAACTATTTCCAGAGATCAGATCCTTTGCCTGCTACTATGCGAGTAACAAAGGGTTTCTTGCACTATAAGGCTTCTGCCTATCTTCCTATCCTTTGCTGAAAATAATGTCCCTGAAATTTGCTTCTCCCCTAAGATGGGCTACCACCCACCGCTCTGTCTTTAGTCTTGCCAGCATGCTAAAATGACTATTAAGCACACTGCTCTGCCTTGGTCAGGCCCAACTCCACCATCTGCTTACTGCTGGTTTCCATACTCCCCTAACATTTAACATCCCCGTCCAAATTTCTTCCTAAAATCCATGATTAGGAACTTCTCAGTCACCTGAAGTGTTCTAGATTTGACTGGACTCTAAACCCTAAGAAATTGGTCTATACTAGGTATAACCTACTCAAACTGAGCTCTGGGACAAACACCTCAAATACAATTTCTAGCAGTTGGCAACTTCTGAAGAGAAAGCTGAAGACCTAGAGACATAAGAGTTGACTAAGTTTCTTCTTCCAAGTTGTGACTTTGGAATAGAAATAAGGCCATAAGGAATGATCACTTCACTAGAAAAAGGTGGGTGAGGAAAAAAGATGGTTTCAGATTATGTTTTTAAAAACTTAATGAGCAGAAGCAACTTTCACCAAACGAAGAACATGTCTAAATCATGAAATTTAAGTCTCTAAAACTAAATTTGGAAAGAAGGAGAAAGAAGTACGCATTTAATCCCTTTTCATTATGAAAAATCTGAAACATATAGAAAAGAATGTAGTAAAGTTCCACAATCATATTCAAAATTATAAATATGTTTCCATACTTGCCTCATGTGTTTTTCCACCTTTGGTGAATATGTATACATATATATGTATGTATATATGTATATATGTATATATACATATACATATACATATATGTATATATATAGTTTTTTGAGACAGGGTCTTACTATGTAGTGTAAGCTGACCTTGAACTCGCTCTGTAACTCAGGCTGACCTCAAACTTGCAGTGATCCTCCTGCCTTGTCCTCCTAAATGCTGGGATTACAGCTTGCCCCACCACACTGGGTAACTATAGATTTTAAAAAAAGGACAATAAAGCAGAAGAGTCAAAATAATTTTCAGAGAAAACACAACGGAACAATAACAACTATGGGCACAGAGGATTATAAAACCAAGGCCTTACATTATTACTAAACATTAATTACTATAATAATATGTTCTTAAAAACAAGTGATACTATGTATCAAATATCACTGTAATCCCAGCACTTGAGAGTTTGAGGCAGGAGAATCGCTCCAAGTTCCTAGCTAGGGTTACAGTGAGTTCAAGGCCAGCCTGAGCCGCGTAGTGAAATCCATCTCAAAAAGACAAAATATATAAATATTACTGAACCAAATTTTATATTTAAAATATACATCCATCCTATTGTAAGCTCTATATCCAAGTGTCAACAGAAAAGTTGTGGAAAATAATGTATGAGAGATATTTCCACTAACTTATAAGCAATTTGAGATTATGGTAATTATGAAAATGTTACAAATATATAAATTTATTGAATTATTAAGTATAAAATTTTACGTAAATATTAAATAATCAATAACGAGTATCAATAAGAAATATATATATATATACACACACACACAATATAACGTAGAGTCGGCCAGATAGCTCAGTAGATTAAAGCGCCTACTTAGGCAGACCCAGGGACCGTGTTCGATCCCCCAAACCCCGGAGGAGCTCGGCATGGCAGTGAGGCAGGGTGTGGCGTGCCGGCCCTGCTCCCAGGGTGAGCTGGGACAGTGACTGAGACTGGGCTGGGTATTGTGGTGCGCGCCTGTAATTCTAGCATTTGGGAGGCTGAAAACAGGAGGATCACAAGACTGATCTGTGTAGTGAGACCCTGTAGACCCTGTACTAAATACATAAACAAACAATATACTGTTACTGAAAACAATGTGAAAGCTCCATTTCTAACCAGTTTGTTGAGGTACCTGAAAGTTCTTTTGGTTGTTTTTCGTGGTGCTGGTGACTGAACCCAGAACCTTGTGCATGCTAGGCAAGCACCATACTGCTGAGCTACATTCCTGGCCCTTTAAAAAATTTTGAGACAGGGTCTGCACAAAGTGCCCAGGCTGGCCACATGCAGCTTAGTACTAGAGTGTTTTTAAAGTCCTAAGGACTTAGTTAATAATTATCATAAAATATGTATCATAAATATGTAACTATTAGACCTGAATTTCATAAGGCGGGATAGATTATGTGGATGAGAAATATCAAAGTCATACAGTCAATGAGAAACCATCATTACAAGTAACTTCTCATGATTTCCAGTCTAAAGCATTCTCCAATACATCCTGGTATTTCTGCCAAATACACTGAATAAAATGATACAACATGTGTAGTAAAAGAGAACAGGGCTCTGGGTTTAGTGAAGGCATGTATGTTTTCAATTATACATCTCAAATCCACTGTGGCAAATTTAAAGCACTATTTGAGTTTTATACTGTATGGAAGAAAGCCCTATATTATATCAGAAACCTCATTTCACTTCCTTGCTCCACTAACCCACAGTGATAGGGTGCCTTCTCCAAACTTCATGAAACTTCAGCTTCTCATGTAGAAAACCAGATCTAACATTTACTAGCTACTGCCTCTTTGCTACAAAATATGCAGCATTAAACGGTGTAGCAGGTTTTCTCACAACTGCATCAAGTGGTTACTTTATTTCACAAATGAGGTAGCAGACGAACTGTGCAATGTAATGTACTCCAGAACGCTGAATAAGTCAGATCAGGACGGGCCCAAGCAGTCTCCCTTCGTAAGAGGTTGTGCACTTACTGAACTACTACCTACAAGCACTACCGTACTATCTGCATGCTTCAGCGATGAAGGCAGGGTGCTGAGCTGAAAATCGGAGCTAACAGTCTAAGAAGCGGATTTACTCTCCTGGCTTGCCCTTCCTTTCGGCTGCCCGGGTCGCCCACGACTACCACGGAGGGGCTGCCTCGGCAGAAGGCTGCTTTATCTCGTGGGCTGCTGCCCCGCACGGGGTACTTCCGGGGTCTGAGTTCGGGTTCAGCGGCCCTAAGGCCGGGCTGGGAGCGCGCTCCCCACCCTCGGCTTCGGCCGCAAAAGTTGGCGGGCGCCGAGTCCACGCACCCAGCCAGCGTCCCGGCCGCGCGGCCATGTTAGGAGGGCCGGGCGCCGCGGCGGTGGCTTCCAGAGGGGCCCCGGGTGCGGCGGCCCGCGGCGTTTCGGAGCCCGCTCCCGAGCCTCCGGGGACCAGGCG